CCCTGCCTTTTTTTCTTTTATCTCTAGATCCACCAAGTTCTAAATTTTGTCTGAAAAATATCGTTATACCGAATTTCTCATTAGGGAGGAGGAGCTAGGGGCGGGGTTGAAGGGGCTTGGGGCGTGCAGTAGTTGATTGCATCAGCAGTTCTCATTCTTATCCTTTTTTTAAAGCCTGGTTAACTTACCGGGTCGTTCAATTTTGAAATATTTTTAAAGAACTATTTAACATGAAAATAACTAAATAAATATATAAGATCCTGAATATTTGTAACGGACATCTGTTCGGATTCCTATGAATGCAGGTTTACAATTCATGCTCAAAATGTATTTTTGTTTTTGTTTTTCTGACTTTGAAAACCGGGGTATGGATGGATACTGTTTAGCGTTAGTGGACTGCTCAATTCAATTGTGCAGAAACAATCGAAAACAGTTATTTGGACTTTTCCCCCTGGAATTAACATATAAACTGAGGAATTAAAAATACGTATTTTTCGGGAACACGGAACAGAAATGTACGCCCAAAATTTAAGTACAGCGCATGAAAATCATACAATGTACTTCTAAATTAAGTACGCCCCGATTAAAAAGACATGTAAATCGAGTACCTCCCAAAAGTTTTATGAACATGCATTTGCAACACATACGGTAATGAACTGCATTGTAGCAAATATCACGGACAAGTACGGTAATATCATTTGAATCGAGTACGCCCAAAGCTCGGACTGACAAGTACAGTAAATCACAAAGGTAAGATAATAATCGAGTGCGCCCATTGAGAACGTATCTTTGAAGAGATAAGTAGGGTAATAAAAATTAAAATACATCTGAATATTCCTATTGATTAATTAACCGGTCGATCTGGTATATACACCTGTCCTACGGCACATGCAATTAGTATATATACACATGTATGTTTCTATATCGGTGCGTGCGTCATAACCGATTCTTGTATATAAATAGCGTACGATTGCAATTTTTGAAATATTACATAGGTCATGAGTTAAACTCAAAGTGATTTTATTAAAACCCAAATAGGCTTTTCAGCTTATTATTTTATATTTCCAAATACCCGAAATTACAATTTTCCCAGTGAAAGCTTATAAAGTTCTGAATACATTGATTATGCAAATATTCACATGTTGAATACGCATACACAGTATTTTTCATTGATTGAATTTGCGTTTGGTTAAAGTCTTTGGAAATTACAAAAAAACAAAAAACAAAAAAAAAACAAAAAAAAAAAAAACATGTCAAGCTAACAAGGCTCTATGTTGTAGTGAATATGCGTTAAATTTAAATTAGCCTGTAACCGACTAACCGACTGGTTATTCAGAAAAAAAATAACCTAACTTGCAAAATCTTTATTAGGTATTTTATTCCGCGGTATTTTTTTTCAAATGCTACGTCAACTTTATTTTTATTATCAACATAAACGTATAATATTGATGAAAAGATGTGATTATATTTCCTTGTAATTTATAATTAAGTTGATTTAAGTTTACACAGATCGTTTTAATTGTTTAAAGCCTTGTTAAAGACTAAATGTATATAAACATTATATATATATATATAATATATAACGATTTATGTAAAACTTGAATAGAGAAATTTTAAGATTTTTTTAAATAAAATACATTTTCTCTGATTTAAAATGATTACCATGATATATCAAATATGAAAAAATATTTTATTTCGGCTTGTACTGGACAAAAATATGACTTAAAATATAGTTTTAAGTGTAATTAAACTTTTGAAGCATGGCTGAGTCGAGGTCCAAAGTATACACATTTATAATGTTATGCAAGGGCTTATATTCAAGCTTCTGTCATTCATTCATTTGTGACGGGTAACCCACATTTTGACCGCGAGACCCGGCGAGTATTGTCTGCTGTTTGAACAAACGCCGCAAAGTACACGTGTTAATTTGTAACATTCTATACCGTTGTGCCCGTGTTGGTCAAGGGCGACATTAATTTGTGTCCTGGTTTTGGGACAGGATGTTTATTGTCTTTTCTATCTCTAACACGAAAGAGCAGACTGTTTTGACTGACTATAATACAAACGCTCATATAAGATCTGTACAGTTCCTGGTGACGGGCTCGTATAGAACGTGAAACTAAAATTGAAGCTGTTTCCGGTTAGAACATCAACTGAGGACAGCGTCACTTCCAGTCGTGACAGACTGCAAAAATTAGCGATGATATACTTTTCAGAGCAGTACAATGGTAAGTTGTTGTTTTTTTCTACAAATTTCAAAATATCAAAATATTCCGTATTCATTAATAGATAAATGTGCAGAGGGTACCAATATGCTGTATAATTTTTTAGTGAAAAACCTTTTAATTTTTCACACCAAGTCTGCCTCTCTATGTTGTCGAATGTGACCTTAACACATATTCCTGTTGTAGATTTGGCACAGAATCTCTAACTCATTGTAGAATTAGAATAATTCATTAAGGTTTTAACTGTTTATTAATTAATTTCCGCTTAGAGTCAAACCGCTGTATCGAATGAGATAAAGATAAATTCTCATCACGCCTTCTCATATATTCATTCAAACAAACAACAATACCTGGACAATTTAAATATGTTATTTTCCTTAATTTTCAATTGCTTTACAGGTGACCGGATGAGGGCCTATGTTTCCCTCTTTCATGAAGAGTTATCCCCTTTACTTCCGGAATTCGGAAAACAGTCTTTCGGATTCATGATCAAATCCACTGTGATATGTTCCCACTAACCAATTAACTGCAGAATAATGGACGTGACTTGTCATAGAATTTTGCCCAAAGGAGAAATATTCAAAAGGACATTGGATTTTGAAGTGCTCCCCTCGCGAATGACCATGAGCATTTTTATGTGAAATGGTTTGTAACGGAACTCTTTTGTACCTAGAATGGCTCGTTAGCTGTCACTTTAATATTCATCGACACTCATTTAATGTCTTTAAAATCACAGCACTACAAAAAGAAAAAAAGAAAGAAAAGTAGAACAAGGGATTTAACATATTTCCTTCATTTAATAAACGCAAATGTAATCCATGCAATACACATAATTTACAAGGAAAGGCTGGAGATTTGATTGACCGCTTCATTGAACTACACTGGATTTTGATGTCGAAACAATTTGTGGAAACAATACGATGTAATGTATATTAACGGGTATACGTCGACACAGAATAATTGCTTGTCCCTTTGAAATATGAGTTTAAGATTTGGAAGATACATTTGTTGCGCTTATCGGAGATTAGGTATTGTGGGGATATATTTTACATGTGTATATTTTCTGATCGTTTACTTATTGCTGATCTCGATCGATAACACGCTTCACATTGACGTGGAAACTACACGTAATATCCCCATTCAAACAACCGCTCTAGCGACCTCGACTCCGATGCCGGTAACGACAATATTTCCTTCAAAAACGTATTATATGGAAATTGGAGACTATCCTTTGGCCTTTGATATAAAATCGTTTGTTGAAGACACAATTCAGGAACACGATTTAACAAATTATTCCGATATTGCACCTATAAATCCGAGACAATTTACCTATGTGTACAGAGCAAGAAAATGCAGGTTTGACCCAAAAGTGAAACACAAATTACTAATTCTTGTGAAATCCGCCGCGGGAAATCGCGACTGGAGAAGGAAAATAAGGAAAACATGGGGAGCGGAATACAGCGACGGAAAAACGATAAAGATTGTGTTTCTGTTAGCAGCTACAGAAGAGGAAACGCAGGTGTTTGTTGATTACGAGGCAAGAAAATTCCGGGATATAGTTCAGGAGAATTTCTTGGATTCCTACAGAAATAACACGTATAAGACTATTATGGGATATAATTGGGCGATGGAGTTTTGTCCTACTGCGAGTTATGTGCTCTTTATAGACGATGACATTCGGGTTAATGTCGATAAGCTTACGACACATATCGACGATATATCGCGACAGCCTCAACAGATTATCGATAATCTTTATATCGGTTTGTTAATACCGTGCGGAGAACCGTATCGCGATAATATTTCAAAGTGGTACATATCTTATGACGAATATCCACACGAATTCTGGCCGCCATATTTAGCAGGTGGCGCCTTTCTAATGTCGCATATGTCCGCTCTAAAATTCCAGCTGGCCATCCCCTACGTCACACTGGTCAGTATAGACGACTCTTATCTAGGAATTGTAGCTAAGAAATTAGGAATTAGACCAATTGATAGTCTGATGTATCACTCAAGCGGAGTGTATGCTAGCCTGTCAATATTTCAGCATCAGGGTAAATCTAGTTATAAACGTATTGATCGAGACGGGGACACGCCCTTCACTTCACACACGAAATTATGTTTTATTGGGACGTGACCAGGAACCCCGATATTGATTTCTGTAGAGTTACACCTGGATGTACCAGTCAGAACGTCCAGTACAGTAAATATATCTAAACATGTTTTCCAGCTATCAGTATCCGTCGCGGGTTCAAGACCTGACGTTGGGCTGTCGCCAGTAACTGGCCGTAGGTCGGTGGGTTTTCTCCGGGAATTCCGGCTTTCCTCCACCACCAAAACCTGGCACGTCCTTAAATGACCATAGTTGTTAATAGGACCTAAAACACAAACAATATTTAAATTTGGGAGATAGAATCACTATTGTTGATGAAATTGTTTATTTCAACTTTATTATTTCTCATCAAATCCTACAGTGTATGGTTTTCTTTCCAGAAATGATTAATCAAGGTTAAAGTTATTTCAGTAAACACAATTCCAACACTTTGTTACATAAATCCTAAACTATGGCTTGACGTTTGGTGCCTTTTTACTTTGCGTTCTTCCATTTTGATATTATTCCGCGATGTAGTGCCATAATGAACGCTTACATTCATAGGTGATTTGATTAATAAATTGATTAAAAATCGAACAACTCTAAACTGTTTGAAGTATAATAAAACAAAAATCTGGACATAAATCTGTCAATAAGCCTATACAATTCTTGCATACTAAATAGGAATCCCTTAAAAAAAATCCCTACGCGATTGAGCTCGTCGATTGTAAACGGCGTTTTATTCAAAACAGTTTAATGAATCCGGCAATTATCAATGGAATGAACTTCCAAAGGAAATGAAAAAATGAAAAGTCTTTTCTATGTTCAAAAAGAAGCTTGTACGCCATTATTTGAACTCTTAAATAATAATATATCTTTTTACTCTATGCTATATTAGCGTATAGCTATGCCAATTTTTACATTTTATGTATGTATATTTGACCCGTGTCTTTTAATGATGCTCTATATGCATGAAATTTTGTGCATTCTGTGATAATTTTAAATATGTTTCTGTTTCTGTTTTGTAAGCAACCAAATTACCATGTATTTAAACACCTCTCATGTCTTACTAGCAAGCCGACCCCTTTGATAGATTAGCCTCGTCTAAACAGGTTATTTTATCCTCGTGCAATAAAGGTTCATTATTATTATTATTGAACGTTGATGATGATCAGCCAGCAAAGAGACTCTTCAACTCGTGACTGTTGTGAATGTTTATCAAACTCTCGGTAGTTAAGGATCCTTGTCCCTCTACATGTAAAACACTAGAAAAATTCCTCTGCAGTTTCAGTAACGTCCCTTTAATTTCGTTTGTACAGAACATTGTGGCAGAAAGAGACTCTGCAACTCGTGACTGTTGTATAGATTGTCTATCAAATTATCGGTAGGTAAGGATCCTTGTCCCGCTACAGTTAAAACACTAGAAAAATTCTACTGCAGTTTCAGCTACCTCCCCTTAATTTCGTTTTTGATATTTTTTTGTATTGCAATTGGGCCAAAAAAGTATATTGAACAAGTAGCACAGTTTGTTTGAGCAATATAAGCAATATTATAGCCTTTTAAAATCCAGAGTTCGAATACCGGTCTAATGTTTACACTCAGAACACTGTTGGTGTTAACTACATTTTATTTATTTTAACTGTATTATACTTCTTTTTTTTTTTATAAAAATCAGAATTGATTTATCAAAGCTTTTACCGAACCTGACAAATTTTGTTTATTTATTTCGGCATCACTTTTGATTTCACACTATATTAGTGTAAATTCTGTAAATTTGTATACTTTGCTATATTAGCGTTGCATGTATATTCCACAAGTAATTCTTGTATGTCGTACAAGTATTCCTTCACTATTAACTATGTATTTTATTAACTTGTTTTGAATACTACTTATCTGTGATCACTTTTATTGCTTTTGATAAAATTTATTAAAACTTTTTTATATATATTTATTGTATCAAAAGTGTCATCTTCCGGGAGCATTTGTAGGAAGGGGGCTCCTAATCAGTTAGAAACTTAATTGTTAAGTGCTTTTTATTAATATTTGTAATTATCTCCCTTTTATTGTAATATAGTGTGTTATTGTTAATTTACATATGTTTGTCGCAATAGTAAGAGCTTTGTTTGTATGTATGCGACTTAAAACAAGATTCTTGTATCTTGTGCTTTGAAATCGTCAAATCTACTATGAAAATAGCCAATTATGTCGAGTCCTTTTTACTGACACCTATATATTGAAAACAAATGTTCGTGGATGTAAAATATTTTATTCCGTCTTTTCGTATTGCAGAGTTATCTGCTCTTGTGAGCAGGTATTGCTTGTTATGTCATTTGTTTGTTGTCATATTAAAACTCTCACAAACTCTCAATATTTACAAAACAAACCACCTCTTTGAACAAAAATAGATTATAGTCCATTATCTCAATATTGAGCCGAATTGCAATTATATAAACCGACAGAAAGAGGTGTTTTATGGGTCCATTTCAGGCAATCTTCTGCTTACTAGTGCGTGTTTACCCACTTACAACTGCATTGACATTACATGTTTTCTCATGCGGCGGCCATCTTGAATTAAAAACGAGGCTGAGGGCGCAGAAAAATGACGCTATCGTTGATTGCAGGATGGGCAAATTAAGAGAGGAAGGTTCCAAGGGCAATTTTGCTGAGAACTATGTTCATGACATTGAAGGTTAGCTATTTGCACGAGTAGATCGACCTATTTTCTACTTTCGCTTTGTCAATATAAAGCCTTCTTGATCGATGGTTTACTAAATACATAATCGATCATGATAAACACGTTTGATTATGTTCGGTTTGCCAACTATTTTAATAAAGAAGCTGATGAAATAAGTGAAAGGCTAATATTAGGATCATCAACGAAATTTGGACGGTATAATACTTTAATATGGCAGGATTAAACATCCGAGGGTTTTTTTTATTCATGAAACAAATTTGCGGGATTTAAAGTTCACACAACACCGCTGTAGGTCACCACTCCCGGTTCGAACAATCGTTCCTTGACGTTTTGTGGTGTTCACGTAACTGTTTAAGTTGTGAATAAACCGAAATATTATTTCTGCGGAAAATCATCGCTTTTGAGTGCCTGCAAGTTAAAGCTGTAACGAAAATTAAGCTGTGTGCAGCACCGTACCTTTAAAACAACCTCCTGTATAAATAAGCGCTGTACGAAATTTGGTATACATATCTGCCAAAATCATGCTGTACAGTGCATTGGTACAAAACCTCCACAAAACACATGTAAATAGAACACCTTACAAAATATGTGCTGTGCATTAAAAGTATAAAAAAAATACACAATATAGGAGTGCAATCTATGATAAAAACAATCAATGGCAAACATATCCATGAAATATATTCGAAAAAATTGCGCTGTACAATACAAGTGTCGTATTATTTAGCATTTAGCGTATTATCGAATGTCGACATCTAAGTGCATTAATGAAATGACAAAATGACAAGATATGCAACAGGAAACTACATACTGAAATTTAAATGAACTCATTCATAATTTAGCTTAATATGTAAAGCAGGAAAGCCCTTAAATCAGAATACCGTTAAAATAAGTGCAGATAAAGTGTTTCAAGTATATAGAAAGCCTGCGCAGTACATGACATGTATACATTTTTTGTTTATTTTACAACAATTATGATACAAGTTATATAACTCATATCAATCACTCGTGGTCCGGATGTTAGCGCGATTTGTAAAAAAAAAAAAAAAGTGCGATGTTGTTTTTCCCATATATTAAATAATGAAACATCCCATGCTATATAATGCCATGACTTTACGCTGACAAGACTATAATTTATTTGTGAAACTTTTTTTCCTCACGTCAAATTCTGAAAAAAACACCTTCACTGTTTATTTATTTTATTGCACTATTTATTATTTTAGCAAATGTTCTTTCTACAAAATATAATGTTCCTCACAAAAAAACATCGTTATCCCGATTTCTTTAGAAAGAAAAATGTACGAACTAACGAGGTTACGTAATGTACGGGTCCCTTTAACTGTTCTAAAGTTCCTTTTAAATTGTCTCTCAAATATTATTTTTCGCTCTTTTGACATTAAAAAAAGTTTGCTTTGTGTTGACATTTAATCAACTGTCAATTGCCCTTATGGTGCAATCGTTTAACTTACCCAATAGAACGTTTTGATATTTTATAAATGAAAAAGTTCCATATTTTAACTCATTTACGGTAAGTCTGTGAGTACCTAGTTACACACAATGCAATGCTGCCCGTTTCGTTAACGTGTTGGGATCACACTAATGTAGACAAAAACAAAATGGACAAAGAAGAGGAAGGGCAAAACATATTACGGTTCGCAGAACGAAAGAATTATCGTTAAAGGAAAAATGACGACACAACACTTGCAAGTTCCCTGTCTGAAATTAAAGCACTACTGGGGGTTTTCTGTTGCATGTTTTCTTTCGTTGAAACAACGTTCGGCGTCTTCATGAAGGTAGATGATTGTAATGGGTCCATAGAAAATACAGTACTGAAATCCACAGGTTGTACAGGCGCATTTTCATGAATTCCACTTAGTTGCATATGTGTATTCCCTGATATGTCCGTTGTTGCTGACTCGCCGAGAGAATTAAAAATACCTCCTGGCGACGCCATTCTGCGATTTACTAATTGCATAATGCCTGATGTTTGCTCAATAGGAAAGTTACTTGCCAAACCATTGAAACGCGATACAAAAGGAAAAGAATCTGATGAAAACACGCGGTTTCTGTCAACAGGAATCTGTTCTCTATTCAAACCATTATTGTCAGCAGCGTCCCTCATCATAGGAACAACGAGCTGCATTCCTGATATATGTTCATTCAATGGGTTGTCAAAAGCAGCTATATTAGTGCTTAATAGTTGTTGTGCTTTCGACCAATCTGGAATGTTGACAAGATCATTCGCACGTTGACCAGTTTCCGTACTAACGGAAGGCACACGCTCCTTTACAGAAGCTTGATGATTGATTCCCATTACAAGGTCCGAAACTGGTTTACCGTCCGTCTCAAAGGTAGATGTTCCAAGTGGCGACTGCATATTTTCTAGTGAAATTGACTCGGGAACACTGCGTGAAACGGAATAAAATGCGTATTAAAATATGATTTGCTTGAATCTCAAAAGAAAAAATACATATATATATATTTATTGGACACGATTGTTTTTGGTACAGCTTAAAATCAAAAGCCTGTGAGGATTTCGCAGTTACGATATTTTCAGTATAAAATCACATACCATTGTCTTTGTCAGCCAAATATGATCGGATGATTCACGAGTGCAGTGCAGGGCTGAAATGGTATTCGTTCGAAACAGATGTTGACGAATCCAGCAAACTTTTCAGATAAACATGTGTGGTTTACATAGAAGTGTTAACGGCTATTGTATATACATTTCTGACTAGCCTTTTTTTAAGGATCCCTGCCCTACTGCTAGCAAACCACGAGAGAGTTACTTTGTATTATATAGAGTTACTGCCCCTTACTTTCGTTTTGGATATAAATCTCAATTGCAATTGGGCCTAGACAATTTCGTTTACCAGGTTGCTCGAATCCTTGCCTGGCCCATTACATTTTTGCACGCATTGCACTGTTGTTGAATTTCTTTTCATTTTTAGCATTATTATATCCTAGAAGTTCCACAGGGTATGTTAAAGGTTCAAAAACTGATTTATCAAAGCAAAAATCATGACGAATAACAAAGTTCCCAATGCGTAGATTCATTATTGTCAGTAGTGTCACAGAGATCCTTTTCAAAAGATTTAAATTAAATGAAAGAAAGCGGAGTCTCCTGAATCTAGATAAAAAAAAGTTTTCATGGTAAATCATGTTCTAAGAGTTAATTTCAAATCTATTCTTATTTTAAGAATTTACTGTAAAACTACTTATCTTAGCGGGCTGTGGAACCTTAAGATTCATTAAGGTTTAATGAATTGGCAATCCCTCAATGTATACAATATGAAACTACTCACAGATATTTCAATTAGCACCATCATAATTAAGTGCAAAAAGGAAACTGCGAAAATCGCTTGAAATAAAAAAAAATCGCTAAAATATGTATATTTTCAATATGTTTAAAAATGGTATAGCCGTGATATACTACCGCAAGTTGTTCGTAAAAATGGCATTTTCGGAGCAAACAGGACAAGGAATATGTTTAAAATAATTGCAAAGGAAATAAAAACAGAGACAGGAGAGGCATTCATAGATATACCCTGATCTCCACCATCATATTTCCTCTCAATCCGATTTTATTTTCCTTTGACCAATTAACTTTAACTTATGTCCACTTAAAACTAAATCTGTTAATGGGTCGTACAATCTTTTGTACTTCAAAAGTGGTAAACCTTGACCGTGACCTCAAACCTTTAAACCTGCACCGATGAACCAAGTTTAGAACGAGACATTACCATGTTGCCTTGGTAATATGAACTTAAAATGTTCAGGATTTCGTGCCTTGTACAGAAACCTTTTACCATGGACGAACAGACGGACGGGCGGGCGCAGTCACGCACACAAAGAGGGACACATTAACAATTAAAACCCCCACTTTGTGGTGGGGTTTAAAAAGGGAAACAGAACCAAGGATAATTAATTGGTGCCATTTAAGCTGGCCGCTAAAACGAAAGTCATTATATTGAGTTGATATTGTTTTTGCTTTCTTACGTAATTGTATAAGTTTTGGTCATTTACTTTTTTTGGCATCATAATGGTTTATATACAGTCATTCAAAAGTAAGGCATTTGAAAGGGACAAGGATTTTGTTATCATACAGCCTTTCAAATTAAGCGAAAAATTTGAGATCTGCATTAAGATCAGAAAGTTCTACTAGAAAAAGAAACGTCGTGTCATTATAGTTTTAACACAACCGAATTCCTAAAATTATCTAATTTTTATTTTCTATTCAATTCAAATCTGAAATATTGCGGTTTATTAACTTCAGGAAAATTGTTATTGGAGTCCAAATATATTCTTTGTCAAAGATAGCCCTTTCAACTTTGTCCTAGAATTAAGAAAACTCCACTTTTAAAAAATTCCTTTATAAAGCAAAAATGGTTCTCATTACTAGAAAAAGGACGAAACAACAGCTGAAATGTCCCTGTCAGTGATCGCACCACCGCTGGACGTCCCCTTCCGATGCACGTGGTCACCCGTCGACAGGACATGAGATGTCTTCCTGAACGAAGAAGATGTAAGCGGATGATGTAGGTCCTGTGCGATAATTGCATCTGTGCGTTTGACTGGCAACACTTGTTCATCAATTGGAGCAGAGAACGGCTTATCTAGGTCAAGTTCAGGCTGTGTTTTCACTTCGGCGGTTTGCAACTGTGCTTCTTCATTCATTGTGGGTGTCTGTTGGTCAGCAGCGCGTTTTGTTAACGCGGTTTGGATGACTTTATTAGATGAGCTCTTTGTTGATGCTGTTCCATGTTCTACACCAGGACCAGCAACCTGATTATCCCGCAAAGTTGGCTCTTCGGCAGTTTTTGTTGTGGTTCTGCCTTCATCCGGTACAGAGTTCACATTATGATCAGACGCTGGAACCTGTTCAGTTTGTGAACCAATTGTACCTCCCGCAGAAGTTTGAACAAATATTTCCGGTACCTGGGAGAGAACCGTATTGATCTGAGACGTTTGACCATCCTGGACAGTATTTTCAGATTGTGACGGTTGAATGCTAGATGATTGCATGTCTTTGTCCTTTTTACCGGAAGTCATTGAAGCAAGCAAAGATGGTGGATCTGGTTTTACATGCGTTTGCATAGGAGAATCTGAGTTTGCATTTTCTTGTGACCACGGTGCAACGTTCTCACCAACTTTAACATCGACGGCTGATAACGCACTAGCAGCATGCTGTTTGTTTGTTTTGCCCACTGTTGGTTGCTCCTCTTGGTCCTTTTCAATATCAGGCTGCGATTGAATTAGATTAGGTTGAATCGGCTTCGCATGTGTCTGCATTGGGAATTCCGCGTTTTCATTTGCCTGTGACCAGGGTGCAACATTTTCACCGACTTTAACGTTGCCAGGTATGGGAGCTTGGATTGCATCTTTATCTTTTTTACTTCTACCGTCCGTGTGCATTGCCATTGTGTCCGTCTCACTCCCAGTTGATTGCACTTCTTGGTCCTTTCTAATAGTGGATGAAACATCAGGCCGTGGTTGAATTATATTAGGATGAATCGGCTTCGCATGTGTCTGCATTGGGAAATCCGAATTTTCATTTGCCTGTGACCAGGGTGCAACGTTTTCACCGACTTTTACGTTGCCGGGTATGGAAACTTTGATTGCATTTTTATCCTTTTTACTGTCCATGTTCATTGTCAATGTTTCCATATTACCTCCTGTTGGTTGCACCTCTGGGTCCTTTTTGATAGTAGACGAAACATCAGGCTGCGGCTGAAGTAAGTTTGGATGTATTGGCTTGGCATGTGTCTGCATTGGAAAATCCGAGGTTTCATTTGCCTGTGACCAGGGTGCAACGTTTTCACCGACTTTTACGTTGCCCGGTATGGGAACTTTGATTGCATCTTTATCCTTTTTACTGTCCATGTTCATTGTCAATGTTTCCATATTACCTCCTGTTGGTTGCACCTCTGGGTCCTTTTTGATAGTAGACGAAACATCAGGCTGCGGCTGAAGAAAGTTTGGATGTATTGGCTTTGCATGTGTCTGCATTGGAAAATCCGAGTTTTCATTTTCCTGTGACCAGGGTGCAACGTTTTCACCGACTTTTACGTTGCCGGGTATGGGAACTTTGATTGCATCTTGATCTTTTTTCGTTTTAGCCTCCAAGTCTGACGAAAGAAGATTCAGTTTTAGATATACCTTCAATGCATTTTTGCGCATTCCATCGGAAAAGTTTGACACGCCAAATATTAATTTTGTAACTAATTTTGTTTTCAGTTTCATGAATTTATCCATTTGGAACTGATCTAACCTTGTCTCTCCTACTATTGACTCTGAAGTCGTTCCATCTTCTCTAGCTTTTTCCACGTAGGTACGCAGAGCAAGTCTGCGAATGGTTTTACTTCTCGATGTCTTTGACAGAATAAGTTTTTGTAATCGGTTCATACTTTCCTTTGATAGCCTTGCCAATATCTTATTTTCTGTGCTCGTTTTACTCTTCTTAGTAGCTGGGATGGCAGATGCCGCTTTCTTCGTTGTTTTTGCTTTCTTTAGCACAGATTCTTTAACCACTGGCTTAGCTTCAACGATATCTGTGCTGGGTGATCTATTTTCAGTAACGGAAGACTGTGTTAATTTGATGTCACTGTTTTCAGACAAGGATTGTTTCTGCTTCGAAGCTACATTTTTCACACCAGAATGTTGATTATTTACCTCGGCAGTTTTTAGGTTATTTGAAGATGCAGTTGCAGCATTTTGTGATGGGGAATTATGAGCCTTATCAACCACTTCTGAGGTAGATACACTTCCAGTTGATACAACCGACACCGTTTCAGGTGCAACAACTCCTGGTTTCGGTTCGGTTCTTTCAGACGACGCTTTCGGTTTCATATTTGACGCATTTGGTTCAGAATTCATCTGATTTTGTTCCGTTGCTGCCTTGACAGTATCTGCTGCTGATCTCGAGGCAGTAGACGATGTTTCTCGTATTATGTTTGCTGTTTTGGGTACGGCGCCCGTTTCAGTATTGGCTGCTTGACTTGATCCTTCAATATTTCCTGCTTGATTTGATATTTCAACGTTTCCTGCAGTATTTGACATTTCAGCGTTTGGTGCATTATTTGAAATTTCAGCGTTTCCTGCTTCATTAAACTTTTCATTGTTTCCTGTCGGATTTGGCATTTCAACATTTCCTGCGGGATTTGATTTTGCAGCATTTCCTGCTTGATTTGAAATTTCGGGGTTTGTTGCTTGATTTGACATTTCAGTGTTTTCTGCGGGATTTAATATTGCAGCATTTCCTGCTTGATTTGACATTTCGGGGTTTGGTGCTTGATTTGAAATTTCAGCGTTTCCTGCTTGATTTGACATTTCAGAGTTTCCTGCTTGATTTGACATTTCAGCGTTTCCTGTTGGATTTGATATTTCTGCGTTTGTAGCTTGATTTGACTTTTCAGCGTTTCCTGTTGGATTTGACATTTCAGTGTTAGTAGCTTGATTTGACATTTCAGCGTTTCCTGTTGGATTTGATATTTCTGCGTTTGTAGCTTGATTTGTTATTTCAGCGTTTCCTGTAGGATTTGACATTTCAAGGTTTCCTGCTGGATTCAACATTTCAGCGTTTTGTGCTGGATTTGACATTTCAGCGTTTGTAGCTTGATTTGACATTTCAGCGTTTGTAGCTTGATTTGACATTTCAGAGTTTCCTGTAGGATTTGACATTTCAAGTTTCCCTGCTGGATTCAACATTTCAGCGTTTGGTGCTGGATTTGACATTTCAGCGTTTGTAGCTTGATTTGACATTTCAAAGTTTGTAACTTGATTTGACATTTCAGCGTTTGTAGCTTGATTTGACATTTCAGCGTTTTCTGTAGGATTTGACGTTTCAGCGTTTGTAACTTGATTTGACATTTCAGCGTTTGTAACTTGATTTGACATTTCGGTGTTTGTAGCTTGATTTGACATTTCTGCGTTTCCTGTTGGATTTGACGTTTCAGCGTTTCCTGCTTGATTTGACATTTCAGCGTTCCCTGAAGGATTTGACTTTTCAGCGTTCCCTGTAGGATTTGACATTTCAGCGTTTGTAGCTTGATTTGACATTTCGGTGTTTGTGGCATGATTTGACATTTCGGCGTTTGTAGCTTGATTTGACATTTCAGCGTTTCCTGTAGGATTTGACGTTTCAGCGTTTGTAACTTGATTAGACATTTCAGTGTTTCCTGCTTGATTTGACATTTCAGCGTTTGTAGCTTGATTTGACATTTCAGAGTTTCCTGTTGGATTTGACATTTCAGCGTTTCCTGTTGGATTTGACGTTTCAGCGTTTCCTGTAGGATTTGACGTTTCAGCGTTTGTAACTTGATTAGACATTTCAGTGTTTCCTGCTTGATTTGACATTTCAGCGTTTGTAGCTTGATTTGACATTTCAGAGTTTCCTGTTGGATTTGACATTTCAGCGTCTCCTGTTGGATTTGACATTTCAGCGATTTTAGCTTGATTTGACGTTTCAGCGTTTGTAGCTTGATTTGACATTTCAGCGTTTGTAACTTTATTTGACATTTCAGCGTTTCCTGTGGGATTTGACATTTCAGCGTTTCCTGTAGGATTTGACATTTCAAGGTTTCCTGCTGGATTCAACATTTCAGCGTTTGGTGCTGGATTTGACATTTCAGCTCTTTCTGTAGGATTTGACAATTCGACTTTTCCTATTGGACTAGACTCTTGAACGTTTTCTGCTGTCATGGCCACTTTATTTGGAATCACAGCAGCCCTACTTCCTGAAACATATAAGAAGCAGATTTTAAAATTGATTTCCATGCATGGGATCAAAGTACAACACACAATGTAGTATAGTTTCAACAAACAAGGAAACTTGTCACATTAAAGAAATCAAAAGTCACGCGACGAAAACAGGTACACGAAACTCAACAAATAGACCGAGGCGACACCTAGTGACTACTTTCACAAGATGTATGGTTTCTGTGTAAATGTCGAAAAATATCAATAATTAAATTATCACATTTAAATAAATACAGGGACTACTTGGCTTCCATATAAAAGTGAATGCATGAGTGCTTCTTAAATAAGTCAAGATATGCAAAATTCATGTGATAAGAATGTCGTGTGAAAGAAAAAGGAGAGAAAATATACTACAGCGTAAATTTTAAATAATAATAATAAAGGGAAATACAAATTTGTGAAAGTAAAGCGATAACTAAGGACAACGGGGAACTTAAGGAAACACATTTCACAGGCATTTATTTATCAACATATTCACCGGGTAACATTTTGTCCTATAATGCATTGGAGCATCCATTATATCTGACATCCACTGGTATCAACACTTTTTCATTACACTACTGGTATCAACACTTTTTCATTACACTACTGGTATCAACACTTTTTCATTACACTACTGGTATCAACACTTTTTCATTACACTACTGGTATCAACACTTTTTCATTACACTACTGGTATCAACACTTTTTCATTACACTACTGGTATCAACACTTTTTCATTACACTACTGGTATCAACACTTTTTCATTACACTACTGGTATCAACACTTTTTCATTACACTACTGGTATCAACACTTTTTCATTAATCTACTGGTATCAACACTTTTTCATTACACTACTGGTATCAACACTTTTTCATTACACTACTGGTATCAACACTTTTTCATTACACTACTGGTATCAACACTTTTTCATTACACTACTGGTATCAACACTTTTTCATTACACTACTGGTATCAACACTTTTTCATTACACTACTGGTATCAACACTTTTTCATTACACTACTGGTATCAACACTTTTTCATTACACTACTGGTATCAACACTTTTTCATTACACTACTGGTATCAACACTTTTTCATTACACTACTGGTATCAACACTTTTTCATTACACTACTGGTATCAACACTTTTTCATTACACTACTGGTATCAACACTTTTTCATTACACTACTGGTATCAACACTTTTTCATTACACTACTGGTATCAACACTTTTTCATTACACTAAAATTAAAAGTTGTGAGTAAGTATTTTTGATGTGTACTATATATATATTATATTGCTTATTTATGCTTTTACACTCAAAACAAGAGCAAAACAATTCTAACTACGAAATGAAAGGCCACCCATATGGTAACATTTTAATTTGATGCAAATAGAGCAAATATAACGACTGTTAGCGCCAATTTAAAACACAGGAGCTACTAACACTTAAACATCCTCGATATCTAGGGCCCGTATTCATGAAACCGTTCTCATGCTCAAGTATGGATTTTGTGCTCAAGTCTAAATTCTTGTCCTGGTTATAAATTCATAAACCAATCATAATTTGCCGATGATTTAAAAAAAAATAAGGAGACGTAAAGCCAAATACTATTTTCAATGTTTATTTGTGACTTTTTGATCGTTTGACATGATTCAAGTGTGTTAACAGGAAGTTAGTTTGACCACAGAAAGCATGCTTGAGCATGAGAACGGTTTCATGAATACGGGCCCAGGTGTTGCGCTCACGTACGCTCTTTGCACCCCTGGAATATGTCATAGCAGAATTAAAGATTCATTGTGCGCAACCTTGTTGATGAGACAAGAAGACTAGTTTGAACCTTTGCTGTACATCAACAGAATCTCGCAGTTGCGTAACGGTAATTTGACAGGTTTTGAAGTCGGGTATTGCCCATTTGCAATCTTCAAAGGACAGGTATCAGCCCAGCAATTGGTTTTGTTTTGTTTACCTGAGACCAATCAAACAGCTATCTTTGTGTCTTGAATTTTGCTTATTCCAGGGGCGCAGAGAGATTACGTAATCTACACTCAAAATAAACAAAACAAGAGTTGGCTCGCCTAATTAATGGGGTTGACAAAAAAACACCAACCATACATTAATGGTTAACATTATTAAACATTAAACATTAGAAATAAAAAATACAAGCATTGAAGGTTTTTTTTGATTTAAACATATTTTTATTTGCATCTAATATACAAATGGGATCGGGCACAAGTTGTCCAACTTATGTAAAGCCCTTTCCCTATAACATAATGAAATATATATATACAAGATGGCAATTTTTAAATTAATTAATATTTTCAATTAAGTTTAGTGTTACTGACATACTGACAGAGAGAGAGAGAGAGAGTGAGGGGGGGG